GAAGGCATTTGAAAAGGAAGAGACATGAGTGAGTTGCAGTGACTGTATTTGAGGGAAAGAAGGTCAGGTGAGACAATTCCTCTTCTCCAGGGATTAGAAAGAAGGTACCCAAAGCAGAAATCATTGCTTCTCTTTGCTTGTGTTTCTGAGGAGCCCAGCTGCCCTGCTACCCTGGAGTTTCTGGCTGGCTGAGCCGAGCTGTGAGTGCTGTCCCAGCAGCCTGTTACTGAGTGGGTGTCAGGGGGCCCTTCCAGGCCCTCTTGCAGAGGAGCACACGTCTGCAGTACCAGCAGGAGAAGCTCAGTGTAAATGCCTGCTCTCTCAGGCTCTCGTTGTATCTGCCACATGCTGACTTTCCAATTGGCCCAAGCAATTTGCAGGGAGAGAATGGGCAGCAAGGGAATTATAACAGAGATGGGGCTGCCCAGCAGTGCTGTTGATAGGATTGTCTCTTGTTATTATGTATGTCACGTGAGCTGTGCTGGAGCAGTCTCTGTTTCTCTATCAAACAGCATCTCTTCAATTTCCTTTTTCCTTCTTTTCTCTTCTATGGCAGTCAAAACCTGCATATGCCAAAACATGTATCCTAGGTACTTCATTGCTCAGATGAGTCTAAAGGATACATATGTAAAAGAGAACAAATAGCTGTTACCCTCAGCCACCTTTAACCAGCCCTTCTTGATTCTCCCTGAATGTCCAAAGTGTTTGCATGGCAGCAGCTGGCTCAGTTCTGGGACAGTTTGTAGGCTTTAAGATAATGGTGGGCAGTTCTCACCTTTGGTTGCTTACAGCTTTAGTGAAGGGCTCCTTCGTGTGTGGGATCTGTTTCCCAAGTGCCTGTCCCATCCTCCTGGTATAAAACCACACAGTCAGAGCTTGGAGAGCCCTTGTGTGTGCTGCAGCTTCACCCTGCAGCAGTGCCATGGGGTGTTTGTGCCTTGTGTGGTGGGGACTCGGCTTAGTTTGGCCTGTGCTAAGGCAGGCATGGTGCAGGGGCCGAGGCAGAGATGATCCCCTCTGGAGGAGCCCACAGGCTCAGCACTCGCACACCAGCAGGAGGAATGCCCTGTGGTTCCTGCTAGAAGTGATTGGTGGCTGGCTAGGGACAAGGCCTGGTGCCCTTTGTCTGTTTTGTCAGACAGACTATTCTGAGAACAACTCTCATTATTTTTTTGTGGATTGTCCTTCTCTTCTGCTTTTATCTACGTACACTGGACTGTGTTTGAATCTGCTCTGGAGCACCATTCAAGATGTGCCTGGCTTTGGGTCCATATCTTCCTCCAAGCAAGCTCCAGGCTCAGCTTTCATTCTGCTCCTGCCCTCCTATTCTCTTTCAGCATTTTCCTTGGCAGATGCTCCTTCCCTGCCTGGCGCTGGCAGTACCTCCAGTGTCTGTCTTGGACGCCACGCAGTTAGGGTCATAAGCAAGCAGGAACGGATGGGGTTTTTCCAGCTCAGCCTTGTCTCCCTCGGTGTAATGAGGGGAGATCCCCAACAGATGGCACTTGAAGCTTTTCCCTGGCTGGTTTTTCCCTCCAGCCTCGCGATGTGCACATCCATGTGTGCACAGATGCAGCATGAGCCTGTTACGGCACGGTGTGTGGAAAGAGGAGACCAAAAAGCGGTTCACTGTGTAACAAGGGGCGAGCAAATCCCCAGGTGACTTCAAAGGGTGAAAAAAGCATCTCTTTCCTTTTGAGAAGGCTTGGCCAGGCCTGCCTAATGAGGCTCTCTGCACCCACACACATTCCTGTTCTTGCACCTGGCAGTGTCAGTGGTACACCTTGGGCAGGATAAACTGCAGAAGGCATTAGCTTGTCCTCTAAGCACAGCAGGAAACACAGCCCAGAGGGAATCTGTGCATTAAACTCACTGCACTGTCTCACCCCTACTGCCTGTCTCTCATTGCACTGTTTGGTCAGGATTCCCACAGAGGAATGTCTCCAGGGGAAAGTAAGATGAGGCACAGCAGATATCCAGAGATGTCTTCCCCATGGCAGCAGTGGGCAGGAACACGTGGAAGTGAACCAGCACCCTGCCTCAACTCACAGCCCTCTCCCTGTCACCTCAGTGCCATGTGTTTCTGCAGGGAAACTTGCCACTTGCCTCCTCCTTTCTGCTCCTGGTCTGGCCAGGAGGAACTTAAAGAGCTCTTCAAGAAATGCTGGAGCAGGCATGTGGGTCTACCCTCAATGTTATGTGATGCATTTTTCATGCTTTTATCATGTGACCAGAGGAAACTTGGACTAGGTCTGAGATTTGAGATTTGGTTTGAACCCAGCAGGCAGATCAAAACTCCAGGGGTGAGAAACCCACAGGAACCAAGAACAGAGCAGAGTGATCACATGAGATGCTCGGGAACAGAAACCACTGAATTTTGCATAGCTCCAGCAGTGTGATCTAGTAACAGGCTAGATTACAGTCTGGGCACATACAGCTAGGGGCAGGGGGTACCACTTCTATTCTTGAATCTTCCACAGCTTTTCTCAGTGACCTTCAGAAAGTCAAGTAAGCTTCCCTGACTTCGGTTTTTCTTTGGGAATAATACTATGAATTATTCCTGGAAAATATTTTGCTATCCTCAGGTAGAAGTTACTCGGTAGTGTTCTGCAACCTGTATGTGGAGGAGCAATGTCTCCAGCCCTCTCAGGAAGCTTTCTTTCCACTATGTGATGCAGCAGTGTGACTTGTCATCTACTGGGAACCCATTCAGCACATTGAACCTCATCCTCAGGGCACAGATCACCTAAGGGTTGCAGCAGTAGGCTGTAGCTCTGCTTTCTGTGACGGTTTCTTTTCCTCTGGGGGCCTGCTAAATTGCTTGTTGCTCTTTGCAGCAGTGTGTCACTGTGCCTCACTCAGAGGAGATGCTGGATGCTGTGGATTGATGATTCTGGTCATATGAAATACAAAGCAAGAAAGAAACAGCTGCTCTGCAGGTATTTGCTGAAACACATATAGGTAAAGGTTGCAGAAGCAGGATTTGCAGAATTAATTTCTCTCAAATTGCAAGTGCCCCAAAAAAGAACTTGTTCATCAGCACTTCATCAGCACTTGTTTTTGCTGCTTGCCCTGAAAGGCCTGGCCCTGCAGCAGGTTAGGAGGCCTAACACAACCCCTTCCCAGTCTGGGCTCCCCACTGCTGTCCTGTGGTGTAGTGGGGTGCGGTGAGCTCAGGTAGAGCCTGTGATGTGTTACACTTGGGATGGCAGGTTCTGCTTTTCCCTGTTTTAGGAAGCTTTTTCAGCTTAATCTCTTCTGAAACAAACAGCTGGGCCCTGGCATGTGCCTGCCCCCATGCTTGATCTCTGAATGGGAAAGAAAATTATACACAGTAGTTTAAGCTGACTGTGGTTTATGGGTTATATCTTACAGACCATTACAAGGACTGCCAGTGTCTCCAGAGTTGAAATAAGGAATGAATAAAGGCTTAAGGAATTTTGCTTTATATGGAAAAAAAAAAAGGAAAAAATTATTAGAGAGCCTCACTTGTTGGACTTTAGAATATATATTGGTTATGTCTCAGGAATAATTCTTATCTAGCAAAATATAACATTGCATATCTCTATGGAGGATTTCTGGTTTCAGTTAGCATTTTACTCCCTCCTGTTGGATGCAGGATGCCAGACTAGCAATCTGCTCGAGTGCAGTATTCCCTGGGTTTTTTTAATCCATACAATAAGAAAAGCAGAAGTACCTGTAGCAATATGTGGTGGCTTAGAGTCATAAGGTTGGATTGTGATTTCAATTTGGTGTGAACTCGGGGAAAAATAGGTGAAAACAAGTCCATAGTGTGAATGCAGAATGCACAGATCAAGTATGGTTTAACAGCTGAGACAGTGCCCTACTGCAGACATCTTCTAAGAAGGCACTATCTGAAAAGCAAAAATTGCTTTCTGGCTCAGACTCTCTGCTTGTTGTACTCCTTCAAGAAAAAATACTTTGCTAAGTGGAGCTGAACCGAGGCCCTTTCCCCCGCAGCAAAGATGTGCTCTCTCTTTCCCACAGTCAGCACTTTAGGAGTGCTCTTATCTTGTTACAGGCCTGCTGGCTGAGAACGGGGAACCCACAGTTAAGCAGCCTGCGCTCCTCTGGAATCTGTACACAAGCAGAGACCTCTGCAATGCTCCCTGGCTTGTCCCAGGAGGAAGGTTGGGACAAAAGGCTCTGCTGGCCCCCAAGGACTGGGAATGGGCAAAAGGGACCTTTCACCCAGACACGGGGAGTGCATCGCTGGCACGGAGCTGGCAGTGGGTGAAAGCCCTTTGTTGTTACTGCTGCCAAACGTGTCGGCGCCTTCCTGTGGGTTCAAAGTGGCCGGGAGCCTATCAGTCAGCCCCTGATAACTTTCCCGACTGTTTTGCCAGGGAGGTGCTGAGGGACTGCCCATGGAAACGGGGCACCTTGCTCGTGCCCGAGGATGGCTGGTGCAGCAGGAGCTGGTGCCGGCCTGGCCCCGCGCCTGCGTTTCTGTGGGGAAGGGCTGTGGCGACTTCCCTGCTGCTGGGGTGGCTCAAGGGACTCGAAACCGGACCCCCGAGCCCTCCCTATGGATCTGGCTCTGGATCGGAGGGCAGAACAGACAGGTCACGGCATCCCGTTGTGGGATCCCTGGACTGAGCGGGCTGCGAGCCAGGATGCGGTAGCGTAGAGCCAGCTACCAGTCCCCCATATCCCGAGCAGCTCGGGGACCCAAGGAACGCCGGCGGCCGGGAAGGGCCGGTGACCCTTTAAGCGGAGTCCCCGCCCCGTGCCGCCCCGTCCCGCCCCGTGCCGCTCCGTCCCGCCCCGTCGGGCCAATGTGCGCCGCGGCTGCCGCGCTGCTCGGTACAAGTTTCCCGTGGCGGCGGTGCCGGAGGGAGCCCGGGGTGGCGGCGGCCCGCTGTAGCGGCGGGGCGCGATGCCCGATGCCCGCCCGGGGCTGACCGGGCGGCAGCGCTGCCATGAGCGGAGCCCGGCGCCTCGGCCAGCGAGCTCTGCCGTCCCGCAGTGAGCGCTCTGCGCCGAGTGTCTCTCGTCCCCTGCAGCACGCTGCCAGCTGGTACCTCCCTCCTTTCTGAAGCGTAACTGAGGAGGGGGTGGAAGGCAGAGGAAGTTTGGTGCTCAGTTTTTTTCTGTAGGCTTTGCAGAAGGATTCCCTGTGCGTGGCAGCGCGGAGGGCTGCAGGACGGGGTGCGGAGGGGCAGGGGCACGGCCGGAGCCGGGGCTGTGCGGAGCCGTGCCCCGCCGCGTACCTGCGGCGCTGGATGCGAGCTCCGCGCAGCTCCGCCGAGCGTAGCGGCAGCGGCGCGGCTGATGCAGATGCGTGCATGTGTGTGTGCTTAACCCTTTCTTGGCTCCTCGGATTTGTACCATGCTGAAGATCCTCACCAAAAAGCTCAGGAACCAGAGTTTGAACGAAATCCAACCTTTCCAGCTAAAGGTAAGGAAAGCCGGTTTTGTCTCGGTTTTTGTTTTTTTTTTTTGTCCCCTTTAGGTAACTACTGAGAGGGCCTTGAGAAGCTGGAAACTTGCAGTGTTTATTATGCTGGGTCAGTTTCCTCTCAGCCAGTGTGCTCAGGAGCAACTGGCCTACGCTGTATTCCTGTTACTTAAAGTCCCGTTCCTTTGCACTCAGAGTTACCCTGCACAATTCAGATAATACAGAAAGGTGTATGGAGATAGATGTATCTGTCTCTTCTTCAGAATGTTTTCCTTTTGATGGGATTCGCATTTAACTGTGTAGGCATTTGCCTAGATACCTTTGTACGTAGGCAATCCGTAGCCTCTCAGCCCTTTCCAGGTTAGAACCCCACTGTGCTAGGCACTGTACAAACATGATTTACCTAAAATGCCTTTCAGCTCTTTATTTGCATTTCTCCTTCTTCTGGTCCTCAAGGCCAGAATCTGAGCTGAAGTTTGCAGGCTAGGTCATTGCTTTGACCCATAGCTTTCCAGATTCTTCTTACATCCGTTTTTAATGTTTAAAATAAAACTGAGGACCACAGATTCAGGATGAGAACTGTCTAAGCCCTTCCTGCCAAATATAAAGAGGAATTTTTGAGCCATATATACCGCAGGATAAAAATGGAGCCATGACGAATGCGAAAAAAATACCAAATCCTGATTTGGCAAAATTGTTGTGAACCAAGGGATATCCCCTGAAATCAGCAGAGTTACTCTGGATTGGCACCAATGCTGTGGGAAGTGCAGCACCTGGCCCCAAATAAAAGAAGGGATCTGGGAAAAGTAGCAGCCCTCGTTGCCTGAGTTGGGGGCTGGGGAATCCGTATACCAGACTCTAGTGGAGTCTTTTGTATGTGTTACACAGAGGCTCGTTGCCGTGTGGCTGCACTTCTGCGCAGCCACTCTGGACAGGCTGATGGCAACTTTGATGAAACATCAGCACTGTTTCTAACAAAGTTTGCTCTACTTCTTCCTCCGGGGATTTCACGTTCTGTGGCTCTCAGGGGAGGCAGGGTTAGGTTTTATTTTTGGAAGTAAAGTAAGGGCAATGCTTTAGGTTGTAGCGGATTGATTCAGTGCAGAGTATTTACAGAGGCAGTGAGGGTTTTCTTAACACTGTGTTTCTGGACCTTACAGCTGTAATCTCTTCCTTTAACTTTCTTGTTTGTCTCTTGGAACCTCAGGTTGTGAAACCGTGAGACTCTTTGGAAGGAGCTCTCAGAGGTGGATACAGCCTTCAGGATGCTTGGAGGCATGCAGGAAAATGTGCCTGAGTGGGCATCTGCAGCCATTTTGTTCATGTTAGTGCCAGGGTTTTGTGCTGCAGACAGGTGGTCTGCATTTTTGCAGGCTCAGTAGAGGCAGTTCAGCTTGCACTGTGCCTTGCTTGCAAGGCTGTTCCATAGCCCATCAGAGCTGTCTCTGCAGCCTGCAGTGGGGAGTGCTACAATGACTGGTACACATGTGTATGGGCAGAAAGCCAGATGTGCAAACTCTGGGTTTAAATCTGTTTTGTCGGCCTTTGGGGACCTTGTGCAGCTGCCTGGTCTTGGTTGAGCCTTGCAGCAGCATACTGATTGCTTAATGGAGTGTGCAGTGCTCTGTCTTAGATGTTGGACCAGAGCTCCTTGCAGGTATGGACCCTGGCTAGGTGTCACAGGGGTGAGCAGTGTGGAACCTTCTGGTGGCTGTGCTGTGCTTCATGGACCCTGTGTCAAGGCCAAATGTCCTGTGCTGTTTTGCTCTGCTGCCCTCGTGATGTGGGGCTGCCAGGCACTGACCAGACTCAGCCTTCTTGGCCTTGGTCTGTGTCTGTGCAGGTCTGTAGGTAGTCTGGCTTGTATGGAAAATGCATTATTTAAAAGGTCCAGTGTGCTGTCATTGAAATCTACTGACAAGTTAGGTGAGAGCACAGAACCAGGTCTGTAGAGGTCTGTAGCCCTGTAAGTGGAGAATGAGCATCAAGTTTAGATAGAGTAAGAATTGATCTACATTGACCACTCAAACCAAGTGCTTTCTGAACTTTAATAACAGTGTGCTTAGCTGCTCATCTCCTTCATTGCCCACTCACTTTAGCACTTTGACTTTTTTTGGAAGTTCCCAAATTGAAGGTAAAGCAAGCTGCTGGTGTGCTTCTAGATTACAACTGTACTGAAATTAGCCAAAGTCCCAGGAAACTTTCCTTGGGTAAATTGTCAACTCATTTTTACAAGTGCGGAAGACTTGACCAATCTTGGATTGGCATCCAAGCTTTGGGAATCTTTTCAGGATGAAATTTCTGCCCACTATAAAGGCTTTATTTTTGTATGGTGTGTCTTGAATTGGTTTAGTGTGGCTGTAATAGGGCCTCCTAATTTTTCCCTGCTTGGAGAAGCTGAGAGGATGCCATGGCCTTCTGTAAGTGAAACCAAAAAATATGCAATCTGGGTGTTGATGTAATGGACTTCTCTTTTTCCATTCTAAAGCTGGCCTTTAGGCAGTTGGCAGCTAGGGCTCCTCAGAGGACTTTGACTCCAGATGTGCTGGTGTCTCTCAGAAAGTGTCCCTCCATTTCCCTTTCACCAGAAGTCACCATGGTGGGAAGGGAGGGACTGACTGACACTTCACCTGATGTTGGGTTAGCCTGCTCAGCCAGCAGTTTCTGATAAGGGTGGCTGGGCTGTCAAGTGTGATAGTTGGGGTTCAAATTTGAGCGCCTCGCCTTGGAAGACAGCTGACCTTGCTTCACAGAATCCCAGAATGGGTAAGGTTGGAAGGGATCATCTGTTCCAGGCTCCCTGCTCAAGCAGGGTCATGCTAGAGCATGTGGCACAGGATTGTGTCCAGGGAGCTCTTGAATAACTCCAGTGAGGAAAACTCCACAACCTCTCTGGACTTGGTCGCCCACACAGTAAAGACGTTCTTCCTCATGTTCACGTGGAACTTCCTGTGCATCGGTCTGTTCCTGCCTGTTGCCCCTTGTCCTGTTGCTCAGCACCACTGAGAAGAGCCTGGTTCCACCTTCTTGACACCCCCTCTTTAGGTGTTTATATACATTGGTGAGATTCTCTCTATTGCCTCTGTTTGAAACTGACCAGGCCCAGCTCCCTCAGCCTTTCCTGGTAAGAGAGATGTTCCAGTCCCTTAACAATCAGTTACCCTCCACTGGACCCACTCAGGAGCCCCACGTCTCTCTTGTACTGAGGAGCCCAGCACTGGACACAGCACTCCAGATGTGCCTCACCAGAGCTGAGCAGAGGGGCAGGATCACCTTGACCTGCTGGCACTGCTCTTCCTACTGCACCCCAGGATACAGGGGCCTCCTTAGCCACAGGACACGCTGCTGGCTCATGGATGGCTTGTTGTCCATCGGGACCCTCAGGTCCTTCTCCACAGAGCTGCTTTCCGGTACCTGAGCCTGTGCAGGTCCATATGGTTATTCTTCCCCAGGTGCAGGACTCTGCATTTACCTTTGTTGAATTTCAGAAGATTCCTCTGTCCCCATCTCTCCAACCTGTCCTTCTGAAGGGCTGCACAGCCCTCTGGGGTATCAGCCATTCTTCCAAAATTTGTGACATCAGTGAACTTGATGTGGAGGCATCTGCCCCTTCATCCAAGTCGTTGATGAGTGAGTAAAACAATATTGGGCCCAGTATGGAACCTTTGGGGACACCACTAATGACAGGCCTTCATCCAGACTATCTGGCGCTGATTATGACCATCATCCAGTTCTCAATCCACTTCTCTGTCCACTCATCCAGTCCATGCTTCCTGAGTTTGCCCTAGAGGATGTTGTGAGAGCAGTATTGAAAGTCTTGCTGAAGTCAATGTAGGCAATATCCACTGTTCTCCCTTTGTCCAGCCAGGCAATTGTTTCATTTTAGAAGGCAATTGAGTGTATCAAGCATGACATTGGTAAATTCATGTTGACTACTCCTTGTCATCCATGTGGATAGACATGGCCTCCAGAATGAGGTACTCCATCACATTTCTAGGGATTGAGGTGAGGCAGACTGGCTAGTAGTTCCCTGGCTCCTAATTCTTGCCTTTTTTGAAGACTGGGATAACATTTGCGTTTTTCCAGTTCTCAGGCGCCTCTCTCTGATCACCACAACCTTCCAGAGATGATCCTGAATGGCCTAGCCGTGGTATTTACCAGCTTTCTCAACATTTGTGAAGCGTCTCATCAGAGCCTGTGGAGTTGTGCATGTCAAGTTTCCTGAGGTGTCTTTCCATTGGATACTTGTGTCCCTGTAGCAGGGGCAGCATGTCCACTCCTGAGCTCATAGCACAGCCTGTTAGCTTAAGAGCTTCAGCTCTTCAACCTTCAGCTGCTGTGGCTCAGTCCAGGAGAGGAGATGTCATTGCCTGGTGCCTTGGTCTTTGGTCTACCACTTGTTTCAGTGGTCTGGTGTTGTTGGCTAGATAGTAGGCCAGATTCAGGAACCTTTTGGGCTGCTTTTGAGCCAGAAGTAGATCTGACTTCAAAAGTTAGGGATCATCTTTGGTAACTGCTGGCAACTAAGTCTGTTGCAGAGCACTTGAGACAGAAGGAAAAAAGTGGGATCGGGGGAGTGTGGTAGTGGAATGCTTCAAAACCAGCAAAGTGAGAGGGGCCTGTAACTCAATGCCTGATTTGAATTTTTTTTTGTGTTGGTTGTCCAGTGTTACAGTCTAGTATAGTTTATTATTTTCTTTCCTAGTTTTCGACTTGTAGCCCTGAGAAGCACTTCCTGAACTACTAAGTCAGGCTGATCAAGGAGCTTTTAAAATGCCTATCTTGGGCTTACATGTGGGTTTGTGATGGAGTGCTGATATTGAGCCCTTAGAAGTGTTCTGTAACAAACTCCATGAGCTTTCTGTAAATCAAATGTCTTATTCATCCCCACAGTTTGGGGTAGGGATTTCTCACACAAATGTTTCTTCCAAGTTTCTCTTTAACTCTTGGGGCCTTGCTATTTATGTAGTGGCTCAAGTGTGGGTGTCTGTTTTCTGAGT